AAGCATCCTTGATTGTGACGTCATTAAGCTTATCTACCAAGGCTAACCCGTATATATCTCGTTTAAATAACTTAAATTTCACATATGAGGTTTTACGGTCGTCTCTCTCCACTAAATTAACACTGTTCAGATGTGTGAGAATGTTCTTTTCCCACTCTTTTAGTTTGAAATCTTTATGTCCGTTAGGTCTCAAACTACCTCTCACTTCTGGGTTAAAACCATTAAATACTTCCCCACCCTTATCGATACTATCTAACACTTCCGTTCTAACTATATCCCTCTTCACTTCCGGTCTGAATTCACACAATTTGAGGACACTTGGATTAACAGAAAAGTTTATTAAACGATCATTATTTACATTCAATTGGTTATCTTCTGCAATCATAGGAGCTGACGACTGTCCGTCATCGCAACTCCCTAGGGAAAAACCGCTTCTGGAACCAGTTTCTTCAGCACTTCCTGCATCACCGCCATGGATTTGGCCATATCCGCCATCTGTCCGCCTCCGTATCCGCCGTTCCCTCTCCTCCCTTGATTTCTACGTTCTCCTCTGCATTCCCGTGAAATATGTCCTTCCTTCCCGCAATTATAACACGAGATTGGTGGACGGGAACTGGCGCTACGAGTATTTCCCCCTGGTTTCCTGTGAGGGTTCTTCTTCTTCCATTCCTCGAATTTCCTGCAGTCCCTCTTCTGATGACCGGTTTTCTTGCAAAAATAACATGCTTCTCCACCCTGTAGAGCATTCACTCCACCCTCTACATCGAACTCTTCCGCATCCGACATGTCCTCCACCAGCCCCGGCATGGCGTTGACGTCCATGGGTACCTGCCCCGTCTTCAACATCTCATTGGCCTTGGTCATCTCACTCCTATCATACCCATAAGTACTGTGTAGGCCTGCCATGTCCTGAGCTGGGGCCCTTGGGTCCATATTATAAGTCCTCAGATTTACCAGTTGGTGGTCCAGAACTGCCTTAATCTCCCGCTCATGTTTGATCTCTTTAGGCATGAAGGTCAGGCACGTTTTCCTCAGTTCAGCGTTATACAATCCTAACAGCATACTAGTCTTGAATTCCACTAGACTCCTCCGGGCTGGGGGGTATGCTTGCACGAATAACCTTAGCTTGTCTGTGTAGTATTGCCTAGCATCTTCATTTCTCGCCTGTCTGCGCTGCATATACTCCATCTTCCTGCCTTCCTCGTCCTTCTCGTGAGTGAACTTCTTTAGTAACTCCTGGAAGAATTCACCAATATCGTAGTTGTCGAAAGCTAGTCCATCAGGTTTCAACAATACTATCTCAGACTGTGCCTTTCCCGTTATACAGTCCAACAGCATCTTCTTTATTATATCATTAGGGATTGTTTCACACTCGTTTCTTGACAGATGCTTCTCTAATTCGCCGCACCAGTCGAACACTTTGGCGGGATTACCATCATAAGTTGGAGCTTTACAGCTAAAATTCAACATCCTCTTCTTATACTCCGCCTCCGCCTTGCTCAGATCTCTCAACGTAAGCCTATCTCCTCTGCCAGCTGCCTTCTCCGCCCTCAGATAAGTCAAGTACACTTCCTGGGCATCCTCTACCTTAGGGCTCTCTAGCATTGCCACTATTCTTCCGATAGGATCTTGGGTCTCTGGGGTAGCTGACTCCTGCCAAGTCTGAGCGTAGGATTTCTCCTTATCCTTCTGCTTAATCTCCGCCATTTCCTTAGTCTCCGCCAGCTGGGTTTGCAGCATCTGAAACTGCTGCCTCATCTCCGCCAGTCCATCCATCGCTGGGTAAGATGGTCCCTCCATCTCTACTTCCGATTCAGAATCACTGGGTAAGCTTGGGTATCCCTGAAAGGTAGCCACTGTATTTCCTGTAGCCACACTTGACACTCTCACAGGCAAATCCTCTCCTGTCAAAACTTCCCTGGCTAATCCGTTAAACCAGGTTCTCACTTTACTTTTCTTCCGAAATACTTTCGGAGTCTCTGGCATCTAGATTTGGGGTATTGATAAATCCCACCGCTGCCACCACTTTTGTAAGAAATCTAGATGTGATAACTTTACTCAAACTCTAATTAGAATCTAACTGATTCTCTCTCTCTCTAGCCAAAACTCAAGGCTCAAGGCACAACTGTGTAAAACAACGAGTAGTACTCAACTGATTTATTTTTATATACAGGTGAATGAACTGACCGGGCTAGCCCGACAGGGTCAACGTACAAATCGTTAAGAATTAATAATAATCATAGATAAGATAGATAGCATTAAGAACATGGATAACATAGATGGCGTTACTACAGAGTATATGTTACAGCCATGTTTCCGCCATTCAAGATTTCAAGATGTTCAACAACTGCAGCAGTTTCTAGGAATGATAAAATTTTACTGCCATTGCCTGCCAAATATCGCTCAGACTCTTAAATTACTCAATGAAACCCTCAAAGGTTCAACAAAACATTTCAAATGGTCAGATTCTATGTGGATGCTTCAGATTCTTATGATGGAGCAGTTCTCCAATACATTCAGAATAGAGGTTGGGTTCCACTCTCATTCTTTTCTAAACAGTTAGACTCAACTCAGTCTAAATACTCTGCATTAGACAGAAAGCTGTCCCCCATTTCTGGTATATACTAGAGGGAAGAAAGTTTTATGTTCAAACAGACAATAAACCTCTAATTTATGCACTCCATCCAAGTGTCTTCTCCATGAGCTGCCAGACAAACACACCACTTAGCATATATTACAGAGCATTCATCAGATATCTGACTCATTTCTGGCATTAACAATCTGGTGGCAGACAGACACGTAGTGGAGGGGGGGCAGTACCCCTGTGCCCCCCAGATATGCACCCCCCTAGGCCCCCCACCCTAGAGCCAGAGGCAGGCTCTAATTTATCAAACAGTAAACTTACATATATATTCAGATTTTTTACTTTTCTTATCAATCGACAATGTCACAATTTATCTATTTTATGATTATTTCTCAAATTCTTTCTAGTTCCTTAATCTTATTTACATTTTTTTTGCGGGGTGTCATTCAAAATGATTGGTAATTATGGTCCGATGACTAATAGTCAGCCTTCAGGTAGATTAATATAGATTTTAAACTTTATTCTTTCTTAATACTGGTTTCATCAACCGTTAGGGAAGTGCACAAAAAAAAATTTGGGTGTGCTTACGCGGGCTAAAAGTGCACCCCACTAGGCTAAACCTCCACTACGTGGTGGCAGATACTTCGTCCAGACCAGACATTCCTCCTCTAGTCAATATGAACAGAGTCTTCGCCACAATACAGCTGCCTCAGATTCTTTCAACTCTACCTGGAGTTAATTATCTTCAATTAGCAACCCAGCAGACCATTTGCCCATCAGTGCGTTGCCTCTCCGCCTCCACGAACTTAAAGGATGTGCTTCTTCCTCAAGATGGAGGCAATGTTAAACTGTTGTGTGATGTATCTACAGGTACTTCTCAGCCCCTGATTCCAGATACCCTGAGATAAGATTTATTCTCCGCCTTCCATGGAATAGCTCATCTTAGAATTAGGGCCACAAGACGGATGATATCTGCCAGGTTTGTTTGGATAAATGTTAACTCTTATGTCAAGCTATTGTGTAAAATTATACAGGTTGTCAGAGGGGTAAAGTTCAAAGTCACATCAAGTCAGATATCCAGTCTATCCCCATTCCTGATAGACAATTCTAAAACTTCAATGTTAATATTGTAGGCCTCCTTTACAAACATTGACAGAACCACTTGTTGGGCGGAAGTAATACCTCTATCCTCCACCAGTACCAAGGAGCGCCTTGAAGCTCCTTTACACCAGTGGATATCTCGTTTTTGTCACCCTGCTTCATTGACGTCAGATAGATCTCAGTTCATTCCAGAGCAGTGTGGGCGGATCTTTGTACACATCTTGGGTTACAACACTCCGCCACCACAGCCTACCATCTACAAGCAAACAGAAGAAAAGAGAGGTGTATTAAGAGCGCGTTGGGCTGGAGTTGATTGGGATCATCATCTGACATGGGTATAGTTAGAATTCTGGTCCGCCCCAAAAGAAGACTCAGCCGTATCTTCAGCTGAAATGGTTTACTCACACTTCCATGCCAGTTCCTTGATGCTCCAGATCCTACTAAATAAGAAGTTAAACCAGAAACCTCTGTGGAGATTTATGATCTTGTTCTTAAAATATTTATTATTAAAGACTATTTAGAAAGAATTTACCAGAATTGTTAGGGGACCAACGATTTTAATTGGTCCAAGGCTTAAACCAATGAGAGCGACATAATCGTAGTTGTAAACATCAACCAATTAGAATTCATAAATATATCCTCTCGGCCAATAAGATATCCCTGTGAAAACATCTCAGCTGTTGTTCATGGATCAAGACTTAATTATTTAATCATTTTAAACTTTTCTGCTTGGATATTTTGTTTAAGGGTTGAAATTGTGTGTTAACAATTAGAAGCTCTTAAAGTTAAGATGAACATTCTAGAACTTGTAACTTGGAAGTTGAAACATTGTCTTAGAAGTCTAAAGGTCAATTTTCAATCCAATGACACATTTTTTTTTAAGTAAGACCAATACAACATAAATTTTTCCTCTTCACAAGTAGGCTCTGAAAACTACACATCTTTTTTTCACGGATCAAGCGTCAAGAGTAACCTCCCTTATAATACAACCTTGATCAAATCTGAAATATCTCTCAAACTGATTATTAAGGTCATCCAATTCAGACAAACATTGTCGCTATGAATATTGTAGTTTGTAACTGTTATTAAACTTAAAAAATAGTTATGCATAGTTTAAGATATTTTTAGTTAAAACAGTTAAAAAATAACATTTTTTTACTTACATTTAAATTTTAAAACAAAGACAACCTTAGATTCAGCTTTAAACTGGTTATCTCTGTATATAATCTAATACAGTGAGAACCAGAAAACAATGGAATACTAGAAACTTTGACTATTTAAAATCAACACATGAGTCTAAAAGTCGTCTTCCTATTTCCTTGTTCTCTGGTACTGTATTAGAAAAATCTATATTTTAGGCAATGGGAATGATGGCAGGAGAAACCCTTTGCATGGTTGCCTTTGTTATTATGACGTGGTAAAATTAATTTACTAAACCAGTCCTTGAAAACAACCAATATTCATATTTTTTATTCAACTGCAAAGCATGAGATACAGGGTGTCCCAACAAACATGGGAATTCATTGATGAAGTCGATATCGTCTTTTTAAATAATTCTTTGATTTAGTATAGTGATACCTACTGAGAAAGCTGTTATCAGTAAGAGTTTCGTCTGCTTAGTTCACATTTTGTTTGTTTATGTTTTGACTGCATACAGTTGTACTTAGTAAAACAAGAAAATTACAGTATACTAATAATATTATGGCTTTTGAAATTAGTTATTACAAAGCTAAGTCATAACAAAGACGATATCAAATTCGTCTCTGAATTCCCATGCTTTTTTGGGACACCCTGTATTACAAATAAGTTTTTTCCATATCATCATCTCCATATACATGGTGGATTTCACCCGGCCACCATTGTAGGAAATCCGTTATTCAGCTCGGCATCTGCCTGTTCCATTCATCTCTCCCCTCAGGGCAACGGTTTCCATGACTCCGAGTTGCTTGGGTTTCTTTTTTTTAACTTACTAGGCTTTTCGGGCGCTTCGCGCCCATCTTCTATTTCAACTTTTAATTGTGGGTTTATCTCTTTGTACAGTATAAAAAGAAAGTTTAAGGATTTCATAATATTTTTTCGCGCATTTTCAAAATTTTACAAAAATGACAAATTTTTAAGCACAAATTTTGGAAATTTTGATAATTCACAAACCTTCCCTGGGCTCACGTGAGGTCCCACACAAAATTTGGGCCCGATCGATTCAGCCGTTTTGACGTTTATTGGATACAAACAGACAGACAGACTCCAAATTCCTAAAATATTGACAGTACAGGGTTACCACTCATGTATTTACTCCAAATTCCTAAAATATTGACAGAACAGGGTTACCACTCATGTATTTACTTCAAATTCCTAAAATATAGACAGTACAGGGTTACCACTCATGTATTTACTTCAAATTCCTAATATATAGACAGTACAGGGTTACCACTCATGTATTTACTCCAAATTCCTTAAATAAAGACAGTACAGGGTTACCACTCATGTATTTACTTCAAATTCCTTAAATATAGACAGTACAGGGTTACCAATCATGTATTTACTTTAAATTCCTAAAATATAGACAGTACAGGGTTACCACTCATTTATCTACTTCAAATTCCTAAAATATTGACGGTACAGGGTTACCCACAATTTATGAGACTGAAAAGAAGACTGAGCTACACATGCTTATATCTTTCATTCATGGCTTGATGAATCTGTAAACTTATTTCATTGCCTAAAATCTATAATTGTTCAGCATTTACTGATACTATTTCAGGCATAAGACAAAAAATAAAATTCAGGAAGTTCATGTGAGTTCATGTCTCTTCATTAAAATTTTATCTTCAGTGGGCAGTCCTTTCGGTTGAAATAAAAAAAAATATGTATTTTTTTTAAAGTTTTCCTTTTTAGTGTTTTCCGAAGAGGTCGGCAGACTGCAGAAACAGCCAAAGCAAATCAGGATTTCAGTCCTTTCATGCTCTATCCAGTAAGAAACTTTTTTGGGAATTTTTTTCGAATGATAAACACTTTTTTTGGAGAAAATTCGTTAAATGTTTTAAAGGGACTGGTACTCTTTAAACAAAATGGAAACCGTCCTCTTTTTCTAAAAATTGTTAACTTCTAACAATTTCCTTCATTGGCTCTGCAGCCTAAAGTCAATTTTTGCAGAAAACCACTGCTGAAAATATTAAAGTTTCAGAGAGAAAATTCAGGATTCCTCATTTATGTATTATCAGACAAAGTTTTTAAAAGTAACGTAAAGAACGTACCTGGACACTTGAAATTACACGTACAGTCTCTTTAAAAGCTGAAATGTAAAATATTCTAATATTTGTTTTGATCAAGGCGGCTCTGTTTGATCTGATTGGAACAAGCTTAAATTATGTTGGAATGATCCTCAGCTATCCTTCATCATTTCAGATGCTCAGAGGTACAGGGTCACGCAGGCATGGATCGTTTTCACTTTTTTTTGGGAAAAACGATCGTTTTGTTATAAAAACGACAATTGTTTTTAAAAAAGAACGTTTTTTAAAAACTAAAAAAAAGAAAACGTTTATTAGTTTTGGTTCGTCGATTCGTTAACAAAGGTAGGTCGTTTTATTCTTTGACGTTTTTTGCGACCGTTAACGATCGTCAGAAAACATTCAGGTAATTTTTCTCAATAACTTAAAATTAATTTTCATTATACGCATTAACGGTGTCAACGACATTTCAAAATATACATTTACTATCAAATATATATATACTATCAAATATATATATACTATCAAATATATATATACTATCAAATAATTTTTACATCGACACTTTTTTTCAGGCTCCGTAATTGTTTTTACTGCAGCTTTGTCTATAGTCTTCCTTCGACAATATATAATAATAGTAATATATTTTCAGGCTCCGTAATAGTTTTTACTGCAGCTTTGTCTATAGTCTTCCTTCGACAACGCCCCAAACCATTCCAGTGGCTGGGAATCTTTATAATTATTGGTAATAGCTTTTAATGATCATTGGTAAAGTTTATATCTTTGTTATCTATAACCATTTCAGTCTTTTAAATCATATAGTAATATATTTTTTTATAATCATTGGTATTAATTTTTTTATAATCATTGAAATAAAAAAATAATTACATGTTTTTGGTTAAAAGCTGTTTTTTTTTCAGGTGGACTTGTAATTGTTGGGGTTGGAGATCTCTTATATGCTCCAGTAAGATCTAATTTCTAAATTTTTTGTTGAAAATATGAAATTCTAAATTTAAAGCTTAATTTTTTAAATTTCAGGCAAAGATACCATGTTTGAAGCCAGAGAATAACGGAACTTTAACTGACCTTCTCAATCGTAAGTATAAAAAATGGCAATTGAGGGCGTGCTGCTCCATAAATTTGTTATGTCGTTTAACGAGAGCAAAAGAGAAATTATACAGGGTGTCCCAAAAAACATGGGAATCCAGTGACAAATTGGATATCGTCTTTGTTATGAATTAGCAGTGTAATACCTAATTTCAAAAGCCATAATATTATTATGTCTGCTAGTGTTTATTTCATGAAAAGGGTAAAAGACTGTAAAGATATGTTTATAATGTCTCCGCAAGATGTACAGTGAAGACGGACAAGTTTACTCTGTTTGTATACTGCAATTTTCTTGTTTTACTAAGTACAACCGTATAGCAGTCAACACATAAACAAACAAAATGTGAACATAGCAGACGAAACTATTACAGATTACAGCTTTTTCAGTAGGTACCGCTATACTAAATCAAAGAATTATCTAAAAATACGATATCGAATTCGTCACTGAATTCCCATGTTTATTGGGACACCCTGTACAATAGAAATTTTTTTATCATTTAAGCAATATCAATTCTGAAATTAAATGAATTTATGAATAATTTTTTAAAAATTATTCATAGATTTTACGTTTTTTCATTCAATTTGAAAATTAACAGGTTTTCCCTTTCGATAATGGATTTTAATTTCCAAAAATTTCCGTTTGTTAAGGGAACGTTGCCCGGCCCTTCCTTCACCATGTGAGGGAAAATTTAAAGAAGACAGATTTAATCATAGATTAATTAAAATAACAGATAGTGCACTAGATGTCGTCTTTTCAAGATTTCAATGAAACAGGTTCTCTCTGTCTTGTAATTCTACGCCGACTGCGCGAAACTCCTCCGGACATCTGCCTTAGGGTTATTGTGAACGAGTTTCATTGAACTCTTGAAAAGACGACATCTAGTGTCCCATCTGTTATTTTAATTAATCTATGGATTTAACTTATTGACCTTTACTTAAACTTTATAAATGAACAATTCATGGCTGAGCGGTCTTCTTTCATTAATATAATTTGACGACTCTTTGCAATAAGAAAAGAGTTGAATTAGGAAACACAAGTTTAACTTATTCTGTGAATTAAAAAGTTTCAGGCTCATTTCCCATTTAGGAGTTAAACTAATGTTTGTATTCAGCTGGGGATGATGGGTATTGTGAGACTGCTAAGCTTGGTTCTAATCCTCTTGTAGGAGATATCATCATTATCATAGGAGAGGTTTGTGTCAAATTAAATAGTCTTAGTTTAAAGTATCATAGCTTTACAGTTACACCATAAATATATAACAAATAAGATAGAACACTAGATGTCGCCTCTTCAAGATTTAAGGGTTTTTTGTTCGCATGCCGCATTGAATGACAAGAAAGAGTGAAAGCATGCGCGTAACTCCTTTGGGCCCCTGCCTCAGGGTTATTGTGAACGAAAAACCCTTAAATCTTGAAAAGGCGACATCTAGTGTTCTATCTTAATTGTTATATATATATTGTTATTAATCTAAGGTCTTTAATATTGCATAAATATATAGGGATTAGAAAATCTGAGTTTGTGACAAAAAATGAATTCCTTTGTTATTTTAAAATAAAAATGTTACATCTGAATATTTATAAAGTTGTAATCTCTGTTTGGCTTCTTGTTTGTATGACTAACAACTCATGACTTATAAACCTCTTGACCGAATTGTATCAAATTTTGATTGGGAAGTTCTGAAGAACCATGGACATTTTCTCAGCTTGGTTTCAAGTTTCAAGTTAAGGAGGTCGTCTTTTATAAGCAAAAATAGCCAAAATTTACAGTCAATGTTTGATATACGACATAGATATAAGTGTAACCATGTGTTTGGAAAGTTCATCTGAAAATTTATCGGTTATTAAAAATAAAAAACATGCATGTTGTGATACCCTGTCGCTTGTACGCTATTCATAAAGATATCAATTTCTGCGCTAAATATCTAAATATCAGCAACAAATTATAAATTTATTTAGATTTTTATGTTTATTATTTTATATTTAGATATTCCACGCTTTCCAGTTTATTTACGAAGAATATGTTTTGGGAAAATACAATCTCCCCCCTCTACAGGTGGTGGGATATGAAGGTAAATACCAATCTCCCCCCTCTACAGGTGGTGGGATATGAAGGTAAATACAATCTCCCCCATTTACAGGTGGTGGGTTATGAAGGTAAATACAATCTCCCCCTTCTACAGGTGGTGGGATATGAAGGTAAATACAATCTCCCCCCTCTACAGTGGTGGGATATGAAGGTAAATAAAATCTCCCCCTTCTACAGGTGGTGGGATATGAAGGTAAATACAATCTCCCCCTTCTACAGGTGGTGGGATATGAAGGTAAATACAATCTCCCCCCTCCACAGGTGGTGGGTTATGAAGGTAAATACAATCTCCCCCCTCTACAGGTGGTGGGTTATGAAGGTAAATTCAATCTCCCCCTTTTACAGCTGGTGGGATATGAAGGTAAATACAATCTCCCCCTGTAATATATTCTGTATCAAGTATAATGTTATCTATGTTATCTGTAATTATCTTAATTATCTGTTCGTTGACCCTGCCGGGATAGCCCGGTCAGATTATTCACCTGTATATAAATAAAGTTAGTTCAATAGTATTCTTTGATTTATACAGACGTATATCGAGCCTAGAGTTTGGCTGAAAATAGAGAGCCTTGAGTTTTGGCTAGAGATAGAGATAAGTATGTTCTTTATTAGACTTTGAGTATAGTAATTGCGTCTAGATTTGTTACAAAAGTGGTGGCAGCGGTGGGATTAAATAGAATCCCGAATCTAGATGCCCGAGACCCCGAAATTATTTTGGAAGAAGAGTACAGTGAAAAACTTTTTTAGCGGGTTAGCCAGAGAAGTTTTAACAGGAGAGGATTTGCCTGTGAGAGTACCAGGCGTGGCTACAGGAAATACAGTGGCTACCTCGCAAGGTTATCCCAGTCTACCCAGCGACGATTCTGAATCAGAAGGAGAGATGGAGGGACCATCTCACCCAGGACTGGACGGCATGGCAGAGATGAGGCAGCAGTTTATACTGCTACAAGCCCAACTGGCGGAGACCAAGAAGGAAATGGCGGAGATCAAGAAAAAAGATAAGGATAAATCTTTTGCTCAAACCTGGCAAGAATCAGCGACACCAGAGACCCAGGATCCCATCGGTAGAGTAGTAGCGATGTTGGAGCGACATAAGGTGGAGGATTCACAAGAGTACTATATATCCTGGCTGAAACAGGAGAAGGAAGCGGGGAGAGTAGATAGAAATACTCTCAGAGATCTGAGCAAGGCGGAGGCGGATTACGAGAAGAGACTGTTGGATTTTAGCTGTAGTGCCCCGACTTATGATGGTAATCCAAGCCAGGTGTTTGACTGGTGTGCGGAGTTGGAGAAGCATTTGTCAAGGTATAAATGTTAAACGATCCCAAATGATGCGATCAAGAGGATGCTGCTAGACTGTATAACAGGAAAGGCACAGTCAGAGATAGTATTGTTGAAACCTGATGGTTTGGCTTTTGACAATTACGAGATTGGTGAATTCTTCCAAGAGTTATTAAAGAAGTTAACTCATGAGAAGGATGAGGAGGGCAGGAAGATGGAGTATCTGCAGCGGAGACAGATGAGAAATGAAGATGCTAGGCAGTACTACACGGACAAACTGAGGCTATTTGTGCAGGCCTACCCCCCAACCAGGAGGAGTCTAGTGGAATTCAAGACAAATATGTTAATGGGCTTATATAATGCAGACCTGAGGAAAACTTGCCTCATATTCATGCCTAAAGAGATTAAACAGGAAAGGGAGATTAAAGCCGTGCTAGACCATCAGCTGGTAAACCTGAGGACTTATAACATGGATCCGAGAGCCCCTGCACAGGATATGTCAGGGTTGCACAGTACTTACGGGAATGATAGGAACGAGATGAGCAAGGCCAACGAGATGTTGAAGACTGGCCAGGTGCCCATGGACGTCAACGCCATGCCAGGGTTGGTGGAGGACGTGTCTGATGTCGAGGACGTAGAGGGAGAGGGCGGAGTAAATGCACTGCAGAGTGGAGATATGTGCTACTTCTGTAAGAAAACGGGCCATCAGAAGAGGGAATGCCGGAAGTTTGATGAATGGATAAAGAAAAACCCTCATAAGAAACCCAGGGGGAACACTGTAAACCCTCGTAGTACCAATTCCCGCCCCACAATTTCTTGTTATAATTGCGGGAAGGAGGGTCATATTTCGCGGGAGTGCAGAGGAGAACGGCGGAACCAGGGAAGGAGAGGAAATGGCGGGTACGGAGGCGGACAGATGGCGGAAATGGCAAAATCTGTGGCGGCTATACAAGAAGTCCTAAAGAAATTAGTTCCAGAGGCGGGTTTTCCCTAGGGAGTGACGATGACGGACGGTCGTTAACTCCTACGATTGCAGAAAATAATGATTTGAATGTAGTTAATAATCGTTTAATAAACATTTCTGTTAATCCAAATGTCCTTAATTTGTGTAAATCAGTACCGGAAGTGCAAGTTAATAGTTTCAACCCGGAAGTGAGAGGTAGTTTGAGGCCTAACGGTCATAAAGATCCGGGAATGAGAGAATGGGAGAGGAATATTCTCGTACATCTGAACAGTGTAAATTTAATTGAGAGGGAAGACCGTAAAACCTTGTATGTGAAATTTAAGTTATTTAAGCGGGACATATATGGTTTAGCCCTAGTAGATACAGGAAATCTAGTGAAAGGTACTTTAGTGTCTAGTGAATTCTGGAAGAAGATAGGAGGTAAAATGTTGAAGGAGAGTAATGCTAGAGTAAACACGGCGGAGAAAGGTGGGAAAGGATTAAGAGTACTAGGGAAAGGGGAAAAGATTAGATTCTACTTGGATGGCCTAGACCGGAGATTTGAAGTAGAACCCATTGTAATAGAAGGACTAAACCATGCAGTGAATTTTGGTATAGAGTTTTTTTGACAACAGGAAGTGTCAATCTCCTGTACGGAGAAGGAAGTGAAATTAGTTACCGGAAGTAATAGAGAGGAAGTTATGGGCTGCAGAGAAGATAACTATACCTGCAGGAAGTGCTAAATTAGTCAAGGTGAGAACTGAAGGTAACTGGACGGGGGCTCTGGATTAAGGAGGAACTAAGGGGAAGTACGGTATCGGTTTTAGACGAAGAGGAAGTGTGTAATTTTTCAGAATCGGTCAATTCTATGCAAGAGTCGGATTTTCCAACGGAGGAGAGTAGGAGGAGATTTATTAAGGACAGTTTTAAGATAGATGAGAACAAAATTCTGAATAGGGATGCAAAGTTGAAAGAGGAAGTAAACAAACTTTTTTTGGAGAACTTCTCCACGTTAGCACTTCATCCTAATCATTATGGTAAAACAGATTTACTGGAACTGCGGATAGAACTACAACCTGGAGCAGTACCTAAGAGATCTAAGGTGAGACCATTGAATCCTGATCAACGGGCAAACTTGAAAGAACAATTGGATGAGTGGATCCAACAAGGGATTATAGAACCTGCGAATAGTCCCTGGGCATCGCCACTAGTTCCGGTAAAGAAGAAGGATGGGAGGACGAGATGGGTGACGGATCTGAGGCTGCTGAATGACGTCACCATCAAGGATGCTTATCCTCTGACGAATATTCAGGAAAATCTACAAAAGTTGAAGGGTGCAAAAATCTTCATTCCTGCGGGGCTTATCACGCGATACAGATAGAAGAGGGGAGCAGAGATTGTACAGCTTTCATCAGTCCTTTCGGCACATTTCGTTATATCAGGATGCCTTTCGGCCTGTCAAATGCCGGAAGTGTATACAGCCGGATGTTGGATCTAGCCCTGGCCCATCTACCTGTGGAGTACTGGTAATCATATCTCGACAATATACTGGTGTACTCTATGGACACCTGGGACCACTTGAAGCATCTGAAGAGCATCGTGGAGGCTCACACCAAGGCAGGGATCAAGATTCAACCTAAGAAGACCAAGATATTTCAGACTGAAACCGAATATTTAGGACACAAGGTGAGTCAGGGCGGAGTGCAAATGTTGGATCAATATGTGAAGGATATACAGAGCTGGCCACGTCCCACCAGTTGCAAGGAGATGTTGTCATTCCTAGGGTTCACGGGTTATTACAGGGGTTTCATTCCCAGGTACTCAGCTTTGACCAACAGGATGAATAGTCTCAAGAAGGCGGAGAAATTTGTGTGGACTGAAGATATGGAGAAGGATTTTCTGGATCTGAAGGCGGAGTTTTCAGCAGGGCGAATACAAGCGTATCCAGACTTTGATTCAGATGAATCATTCATCCTTACTACGGACTGGTAGTCTTTGAACATTGCAGGGGTTTTATCTCAGAAACAGGAGGGAGTAGAACGTTTTCTGGGTTGTTGGGGGCAGAAATGTAACCGTTACGAGAGACACTACTCCAGCGCCAAGGGGGAGTTACTCGCCCTGGTGAAGTGTATGGAGAAGTGGGAACATATTCTTAAGTACCGGCCCCCCTTTTTAGTCTACACAGATGCTGCTAGTTTAAAGTATATTGTTAACTTGAAATCAGAAGAAACTATCTTTCAACATTGGTACGCGGAACTGGCTCAGTTTGAATTCATTGTTATACACAAGAAAGGAAGTGAGAACGTTAATGCAGATGCCTTATCTAGAGCCAAACATTTAGATGAGCCAAAGAAGGAAGAAAACGAAGAATATCAAGAAGCTAATGAAGTGGGAGAGATGAAGATAACTTTTGCATCAGAGCTGGAAGGAAACCCTGTGGAAGTAGGAAAAGTGAGGCGGAAGTTCCCAGGATATCCGCCCGCTATTCATAACCTAAGTAATGGGACCAAGTTTGAAATAGTGGAAGGAAATGAGCTAAGGAAGTTACAGGAAGAGGATGTAGTCTGGAAGGAAGTGATCAAGTGGCTGCTAAGTGGTAAAGTGGCCAAGATGCAGGAAGTGAGGGGAGAGATACAGGAAGTACTGTCAGTGAGGCAGATATTCAATCCTACCCTGTTCGTGATGCATAACGGAATCCTATGCAACAACAGACACACAGATCAAGCCAAGCCTTATGATGCTTTACGTGTTTGTGTACCAGCAGTAAAGTTAGAGGAAGTGTTTAAGATTTGTCATGAGGGCGTGGCTGGGGGTC